GCATAGCTGCCCATATGAAATTGCTCTTCAGTTGGTAGTAATGTGACTCAATCATCAGCCTTTGCAGTGAGCTTAAGTACACAATATACACTGTTATTTTTATTGTCTATTGAAAAGAACATCAAAAACACAGTGATGGGGTTACAAGGTAGTAAACAGGCAGTGGGCTGCTGCTGTTGTTGTTTTACTGGCATGAACAAGGATGTAAATTTGTTTTGTCAAGCACTGCCAACATACACTCACTAACGTATCTTAATGCACATGTCCTTCACTGATAGGAAATTTGGCCTGGTGCACTTGCTTTGCAATTCAGCTTCCTCAAAGCAAACATTATTTAATCTTGATGCCAAGCAGCAGCACAAAACCAGTGGCTTATTTCCCTTCCTTAGGTCTTATGATGTCTAATGTAAGTGAAGCTAAAGTCAACAAGCCCTAAGTGAAAAAGGAATGAAATCCTTCATTTATATGCACACCATATTGAATTTTCTTGGTCCCTTGATTTTTCTGAAGTCATATCACAATTTAGCCTCAAAAAATGATGTGCAGAAACAGTTTGAAATAATCAGAGCAGACTCATGTGTGTGTGTGCGCGCAAATAGTATTCCATCTAGATGTACAGCTCAATATAAATCTTAATTCAGCCTCCCCCAAGATGGTCCTCTCCAGTAGTTTTGGATTACAGCTTCCACCAGCTCCAGCCAGCATAGCCAATGGTGAGGAATGATAACAATAATGATAATAATTTATTATTTATACCACGCCCATCTGCCTGGGTTTCCCCAGCCACTCTGGGCGGCTCCCAATCGAGTGTTTAAAACAATACAGCATTAAATATTAAAAACTTCCCTAAACAGGGCTGCCTTCAGATGTCTTTTAAAAATAGTATAGCTGCTTATTTCCTTGACAACTGACGGGAGAGCATTCCACAGGGTGGGGTGCCACTACTAAGAAGGCCCTCTGTCTGGTTCCCTGTAACTTCACTTCTCACAATGAGGGAACCGCCAGAAGGCCCTTGGCGCTGGATCTCAATGTCTGGGCTGAATGATGGGGGTGGAGATGCTCCTTCAGATATACTGGACCGAGGCCGTTTAGGGCTTTAAAGGTCAGCACCAACACTTTGAATTGTGTTCAGAAACTATGAGTGTTTTAGGCCAATGCATTTGAAGGGCAACAGGTTGGAGAAGACTTTTCTGCTCATAAAGATTCTTTAAGATTTTGCCATACAGATACCATTAGCTGAATGAATCTGTTTGTGGACACTTTCACAAACTGGAGGAAAATAATGTGACTAATATACCATTTGAAGTTTCTTGCATTTGGAAATAGACATATAGATGTACCCTGACATCCAAGCTGATATGCACCAATTTTGCAATGCACAAAATTTGATGCTAGGACAGATTACAAAACTAAAACAATAAAAGTACATAATCAAAATGACAATAGCACATGTATTCTCTCTTCTTTTGGATTTCTTGTCATCTAGAATTGCAATGAAATCTAATGCATGTCCTTTCAAAAGTAAGTCCCAGAAAGTTCAGTGAAATTGACTCCAGTGCAATTTGTATAGGATTGCCATTCCGAATTTGATTTATTGTAATCTATACATATCTATTACAAGAGGTTTATCCTAATACAAAGTGTAATCATTATTCTCAGGCACTGGGACTACAGTTGCAATAAGAGGGCTATTCTGAACTAATTAGTTGGTCATGCAAATCCATTTGGCAATGAATGTGCTTTTTTGTAACCCAGTCGTGTCTGGCAAGATATTCTGTACTAGATGAGATAAAACAGCCAACTGCTACATGGTAGGTTGTTCCTGATTCCTCTTGGCATTTCTACAAGTGTCTGTGGTCTTTGTTATACAATCACAAATAAAACCTTCAGTTCCGGCTTTAAGCCAACATGCTTTGGAACAATTCACAGGCGGTGCTGCATCCCCATTTCTTCCATTAACGATTCCTGTATCTGCGGATTTCCATGTTTCAATTCTTTCTTTATTGATACTGAGGCTGTCTGAAATGATTCATCAATGAAGTTTAGAAGAGGTGATGTCTGATCAGTTTTAATCAGTGTTTCAAGAATCAGATAATCAGATACCTTGAAGAAGTTCTGGAGTTCTTATCTTTGCAGAAGAACTTCTCCACGCAGCAGATAGTTAAACTATGGGAATTTGCAAGTGCTGCATGTAGTGATAGCCAGCGACTTGGATGGCTTTAAAGGGTCTGTGTGGACAAATTCATCAATGACTATCAGTCTTCATGGCTACTTATTTTCATAGTTATATCCCAATTTCTTTTATGATAGAACCCAAGGCATCTGACATGGGATTCACAGGCAGTCTGCCGACTAAGCACTGACCAGACCTAGACCTGTTTAGCTCCAAGGCCAAAGTAGTGGCCATGCATACTGCCAGACTAAAAGGTAAAGGTAAAGGACCCCTGGATGGTTAAGTCTAAAGGCAACTATGGGGTTATGGCGCTCATCTCGCTTTTAGGCCGAGGGAGCAGGCGTTTGTCCACAGACAGCTTTCCAGGTCATGTGGCCAGCATGACTAAACTGCTTCTGGTGCAACAGAACACCGTAACGGAAACCAGAGCACACGGAAATGCTGGTTACCTTCCTGCCACAGCAGTACCTATTTATCTACTTGCACTGGCATGCTTTCAAACTGCTAGGTTGGCAGAAGCTGGGACAGAGCAACGGGAGCTCACACCGTCATGGGGATTCGAACCGCCAACCTGATTAGTAAGCCCAAGAGGCTCAGTGGTTTAGACCACAGCGCCACCCGTGTCCCATTTGTACTGTCAGATACAAGGCATCAGTTAAGGAGGTGCAAGGAAATAACCACTCGCTCCCCACTGGGTGACACCATCCTGGTTCCAGGCTCCAGATCAATGCCTTTCCTCAGATTTTATTATGTGGACTATATCGGTGCAAGACTGCCAACCTGCAGATCACATCTCATTAGTATATTGATAATTTAGTCACAATTAGTCAATGGAAACCATCCTCCACATGGATCCACTGGCTTCATTGATATCCAGTATAGCATGTACAGACTACTCATGATCAGAGCATGTGTGGCCTGCAAGTGTGGCCCAGAGAAGGAGTAGAAGGAAGAGGAGAGCCATCAGATCTCTGCATAGGAACTGGACACAAGGCTGCCACTGATTCTAATCAGCAGGCACATTGCAGTGCCCCAGGATTGCAGCAGTTCACAGCATGGAGAACAGTTCCACTGAGTCTTATGAGAATGCTGACTGATTCCTCCTGATGCAGCTTTGTTGGCTGCATGCAGAAGAGAGCATGGATCATTCTCCTCCTGGTCCCAGTAAGCAGGAATGTAGGAAGTTGCCTTATATTGCCATGGCCATTGGTCCATCTAGCTCTGTATTATCTACACAATCCCATTTTTCAGCTGGACACTGAGGTCTAGGTCTAAAGGCCTTCTGGTGGTTTCCTCACTGTGAGAAGTGAAGTTACAGGGAACCAGGCAGAGGGTCTTCTCAGTACCGGCGCCTGCCCTGTGGAACGCCCTCCCATCAGATGTCAAGGAAATAAACAACTATCTGACTTTCAGAAGACATCTGAAAGCAGCTTGGTATCAGGAAGTTTTGAATGTTTGACATTTTTAATATGTTTTATATGTGTTGGAAGAGGCCAAGAGTGGTTGGGGACAACCTAGCCAGATGGGTGGGGTATACATAACATCATCATCATCATCATCATCATCATCATTTAACTGATTGTCAGCAGCTGTCTAGTATTTCAGACAAATGACATTTCCAGCCCTATCTGGAGATTCCAGGGACTTAACCTGGGGTTTTCTGCAAGCTAGACCAATACTTTGGCCCTTCCCCAGGAATCCCACAAATAAAAACATTTTGTTAAATAGAAGCTATTGGCACCCTTTCTAAAACCATGTATTTGTGGGGAATTGCCAACTATGGTTATAGTTAATTACAATTAAATATGAAGGGAAAGCATTATGCCCTCTGGATCATTCATTGCCCATATGCATTATCCTGGTTGAATGTGATGCTGCAAAAGGCCAAAAACTAGCTACTCTCATTTCTGGAAACGATTTGATGCTTTGGACAGTGAGTGGTGCTGCTGTACATGAAATCAAATAACAGTGCATAGAAAAAAATGAAAGAGGGAAGGGAAAACCCTATTCACAAATGAATGTCCCTTTCCCCATGTTGGGCATGTGTTTGAAACCGGCAGTGGTGCATAAACAGCTTGCATATCAAGCAGGCAAAAGGTACTTTTCAAAACCCTGCTGGCAAGGAAAGCAAAAAGAAATTAGCATTTTTGTTTGCATACCTTCAAAGTCGTAAGTAATCCACTAGAGACTTCCTTATTCTCAGCATTTCTCATGTTAATCCATAATGGAGTCAAACTCTTAAACATCAGCTGGGAGATCTTAATTAAAACCACCAGCTTATAGTTTTATCTGGCAGCAAATGTATTGCAATATATATATATATATATATATATATATATATATATATATATATATAGTAGTGTTTATCATTTCTAGTACTTTTTGTATTAAACTGTTTCCTTTCCTCTCCAGGCACATGTTACTTATTCTTTGGATTTGGACATTCTCTCCCAGAACAGAATCTCTTGCACGCCAATCATAGAATTGTATTAAATTTATCAGTTGCTTCATCTTGCCCAGGACACCCCAAAGTGACTTAGAACCAAACAGATGGACAATAAACCTTGGATAGGTACAACAAAACCTAGAGGAAAGAGAAATACATTAAAAATATACCATCCACTTCTAAAAGGCCACAAATAGTTAGAGGCCAAAGACCTGATTAGAGAGGAAAGTTTTTGCCAGGCACCTAAAGATATATAATGATGGTTCCAGACGAGCCTCTCCACAATTGCACAAATGGGGAGCCACTGCAGAAAAGACCTGTCCTCTTGTTGCCACCCTCTGGACCTCTTATGGAAGGGGCAGATGAAGAAAGGTAAGTGTCAGGAGTGCGTGCAGGAGCCAGGCCCTGTGACTGGCAGGGCCTCGCAAGACTGGGGCCTTCCTGAGTTTGGCCTGGAAGGGCAAGGCACGGCCGCACAGGTGAGGCTTGACAGAAGACTTGTAGCACCTGGTAGCAAGCACCGGGAGGGGTATATAAGACCAGCATTTCCCTCTGGCTCTTTGCCACAGCAACACACTGCCCACCTAGCTGTGCTTTGGCTTCCTGACTCCTGGTATCCTGACCCTCAGACTCTTGGCTTCCTGACTCCTGGATTGCTGACCCTGGACGGCTGATTCCTGCTTCCTGACCTCTACCCCGGTCCCGATATACCAAGCCGCGACTCCAACTGCCTGTAACCCAGAACGTGACAGTAAGGGTATCCTGTTAAAAGGATCTGGGAGGTGTGGCTCCTGTCCGAAGCCCAAACGGGGGCTAGGGCCATACCACTCCTCCCATAGGGACTACTTGGGGAACGCCCCGATTTGATGTAGGTCATAGGGTGTCTCCCCGCTGGCTTCACCTTTAGAAACACTCCCAGCAGAAGGGCGGGAGTGACATATGCAGTTTCTTACCACAATACCGATGGCCAAACCTTCACATCTGTAAAGTTATGGCCTTATTTGATCCCAAACCAATATGCCGTGTGTTGTCTAGTTGTTTGCACCTAGGGAACAGGATGGTCATGGGACCTCGATACGCAAGTTTGAGTAAAGCAGGAGTGGGGAGACGCAGAAGAAAATGATAGTTTTCAACAATAGCTGTGATTTGAATAAAACGTGGATTGGGATGCACAGAGAAAATGATGGTTTTGAACGACAGCAGACATTTCACTAAAGCAGGGATGGGAAAAACAGAGAGGGGAAAAGCAGAAATTTTAAACAATGGCAGAGATTTGGGTAGAGTGATCAGGGAGTGATATGTGTGGGGTAGGGAGGCAGTTTAAAACAAGGTTTGAGGACAGTGGGAAGGGAGTAGAGAAAACCACTGTTGTGTTAGCTTTTTGGTTTTAAGTCAATTGTTGATGCCTCACTCACAACTGATTTTCTTTCAGTTCCTTTCAGTCCCTTCAGGCTTCAACCCTATTCTTCCTTTCCTGAGAGTATGTCCAGCCAAACTCAGTAAATGCTCTCTTTTTTGGACTTGCAGCAGGTATGATGAAAGCTGCTTAGCTTTTCTAGAAAGTGCTCTAAGTGAATAGTAAATGTTTTTATTTTTTATTGCAAATCTCTCTTCCAGGCTATTAATCTCTATGGTCTACATAATATGTAATAAAAATACATGGCAGTATATGTATTAATATACAACAGCATGCAAAATACCATATAAGATTAAATATATAATTAATTTCCTATGCTGGTGTTACAAAGATGTAAATAAATGTTGATGACACACACACACACACACACACACACACACACACGAAGAAGGAGTGGATGATTAGAAGGACAAATTATCCATCCATTCCTTAACTATTAAAACTTTTCCCAATATCTATTCAAACAATATTTTGGCCTTATAAGTGTGTATAATATAGTTTATATCCTGTCCTGGAATCTTTAGTTGCTTCTTTATAAAATGTTAAACTAAAAATAATAATCTTGAAGCAATTTATAAAAAGTGTAAAACATTTATTTAAAAATGCATATAAAATCAACACAATTTCAAAACAATGATAAGTAATAAAATTATGAAAGCCGCAGATAAACCACAGATTGCTTCAATAGAGTTAAAATATCCCTCTCCTTGAGATGGAAGGGTTAAACAAAATACATTTCTTCGGCACTGTAGAAACTGTGCTGCTTGAATGAACAGAATGAATCAGAACAAATATTTTATAGTGAAGTATAAAGAAATGGCCAGAGTTGACTGTTTAGCTGCTGACTCATCCAGGAATAAATTAAAGTTGGAGGAAATTGGTTACTGAAGAGACAAACCTTAATTGTTTTTCATTATAGGGTCTTGTGTAATGTTTTATTTGTTTATGGAGTTACATTTTATAAAGCCAGGCTTGGAAAAAAAAGTTGGCATAGTTTGAAACGGTGACAAACAACCTTATAGAAAAGGGGATTAACTCATACAAATTTTATTCCCATTGAAAATGTGGAACAGCGAGAACTAGGTTTCCCCCCAAATCATTTTATTTTACTTTTTTAATGCCCATTTTCACCAAACTGTGGTTAAACTATTTAACACTGGTGTTGTAGTAGCTTAGCAACAATGAAAGGGATAGAAAATCTACTATGATCTTGGTGTCTGGTAAGGAGCACTCGTTAGACAAGATCAAAAACCACAAACCCTTAAAAAATAAGATTTCCCTTTCCTCCAAGACCCAGACTTCTTCCTTTATCTTTCCCCTGGTTTTTCGTCCTTAACTTGAAGTGCAGTCCTGAGAGCTCAGACCACAGAGAAAAGGAAAAAGGAAAAAACCCCAAGAATGAACTGCAACAAAGGATGAGGGAGGTTTGATTTAGTTCATCTTTAAAGGGAAATCTATCAAATTTGGATTTTCTGAAACAACATGAGAACTGAAACACAGCCTTTCTTTTACATTCACACTTTTCCAAAATTCGCGATGTATTTCTCCAACCGACCAGTGCTCAGATCAACAGTTCAGCACAAGAAGGACAGTCTAGGAAGATTGTGGTTCTTCTCTATCCACCCTTCCCATGTAGGTACAGTCATATCTTGGATCTCGAACGCCTTGGCTCCTGAACAAATCGGCTCCCGAACTATCGAAACCCGGAATTGAATGTTCTGGTTTCTGAACATCCTTTTGGAAGCCGAACGTCCAACAGGACTTCTGCGGCTTCTGATCGGCTGCAGGAGCTTCCTGCAGCCAATCAGAAGCCACGCTTTGGTTTCCGACTGTTTTGGAAGTCGAACGGACTTCCGGAACGGATTCCGTTCGACTTCCAAGGTTCAACTGTATATCAATCAGCATACACTGCAAGCTTAGCTCCATCCCAACACTTCTAACATAGGATTGTGTTGTTAATTATGACTAAGGTTAAATGGATTGTGGACAATTTATTGTCACACTGTTTCTATTCTGGAGACCTAATAAAATAAATAGTAGCAGTAGGGATCAGTTTTCTTTCTTTCTTTCTTTCTTTCTTTCTTTCTTTCTTTCTTTCGTGTCAAGGGATATATTTAAATAAAATATCAATTTCAAATAGTCTCTGCTCTCGTTTTTTTATTATTATTACATTACTAGGTTATTTTCCGTATCTTTCTCTGTAATTTCAATGTACTTTACTCTTGGTTGAAAATTAGGCTATTACTTCTAAAGAGATTTCCATTATGCTTGTTGTCAGAGGATCCTGAAATGCAAGGATTGAGATACTGCCAAGATAAGAGCAGAATCAACAGCTAAATTCTTCTCCAAGTAAAGCAAAAGTTTACATAATTTATACATTCACAATATTTTTGGCATATAAGTTATTATGGCTTTTCCACCACTGCTAGGATTTCATACCTTTATTTATTTTTTAATGTCAGTGCATTCCATATCGTTATAAAATATACAATGCAATATAATTGCCTGTGAAGGTCACAGCAGCATTTCAATAATGCCATGAAGAGAATGTTGCCCTAGGATCAGATAAAACAATAACACACATTCGGAAAAGGAAAGTCTCTCAAGGTGAATTAAGGTTAAAAGAAAACGAATTCATATTGTAGCTATTGTATCCCTCTTATGCTACAAGATACAGGCTGTTGTTGTTGGGTTTTGTTGTTGTTGTTTTGCAAATCTACAAGATGCAGTGTTGTTGCATAATATTTTGCTATTTTTTATTTAATAATAAAAAGAAGGTATTTGAAATTCCATATTGTCTCCATTGCTATCCTTGTACTGAAGTTCAGACAAGTCATTTTCTTTGCTTTTGGACTAGTGGTACCATAGAATCAAATAATCTTAGAGTTGGAAGGGACCCCAAGGAATGCAGGAATCTCAGCTAAAGCATTCATGACAGATGGCCACTCCCTTCAATATACCTATATTTCAAATTTATTAAAAGAAAGAGAGAGCGAGAGAGAGAAGCAGGTGCCATAACTTTCCAACAATTTGACATTACCCTGAAGGTGGCCTCTTTCATTGTCTTCTTTTCATATAGAATTTTTTTTATTTTTTCAGATTTTTTTTACAAATCAAATAATTAAATTATTTCATGAGTTGACTTGCCACCCTCGCCTCCCCAGTGTTTTTACTCAAACCTTTTCTACTTTATTTATCTTTATTTACTACAAAAAAGTTTCTCTTACAATTACTTTGTCATTTTTCTTCCACTGCTTTTTATCTCTAATCCTGCCCATGATTTCATTTGACTGTAATATCACTATTTCATTGTCTTCTGAGACTGATGAATGCCAACCACAAGTAATAAGTCCATGGGAATCATGGCAGCCCCAAAGTCCCAAGCCAGTCCAGATAAGGGGACCTCAGCATATATGTTAATAGTCCCCCCACCCCCCCAAAAACCCTAGCAAAATGAGGGTCTTCAACATAACCACTTCCACATGTTCAGGCAGGAAGACTGTTGAGCAGCAGGGTGGATATATGTGAGTTCATATGCATGCATGTTTCCCCTCCCTTCAGAAAGTCGTCTGGGAATTCTCATCTTCTGTTACTCTATAGCTGCATATTTTCAGTCTGTACCCTTTCTGGAGCAAGTCTGGGCAGTAACAGTGGGCTGCTAGAATGGGATAATCTGATTTGCCTGCTAAGATTCACCCTGTCCCTCCCCTCCCCTCCCCTCCCCTATTTGCATAACACCATCTTGGTCGTGCTGAGCATGAGCAAAGCACCATAGGCTATTATGCATATGACATAGGCTTCCTTGTACTCTGTTTATCTTGATGCTCCCTAGCCTTAATTGCTTTCTTATTGCAGCAAAACGTTGCCTTGCAGCTTGGCAAAATTTCTCATCAGTTCTGACCTTCACAGCAGCCCAGTTCTCTCCTTTTCAGTATTAGCCGTTTTAGCTTGTATAAGTAGAAAATTGCTGTAGGGTCCAGTTTACTTAGGAATATATCTATTGACAAACACACAAGCAAAGTCTTTTATCAGCAGTGATCCTTTTATTGTGAAATGGTGTTATGCGGCTGCAGGGACTGGTGTTTTAGTGACCCCTTTCATCCCATCTTAAAAACCATTTTATATCCCTCCCTCCCCATTAGCAAATAGTAGTAAAGGTAATGCGTGTTGACATTTCCAAGTCTTCATCTTACCTATTAAGACAGAAAGCAGTAGTGTTATTGATCTCTCTCTCTCTCTCTCTCTCTCTCTCTCTCTCTCTCTCTGTGTGTGTGTTTGTTTTTGTTTGTGTGTTGTTGTTTTTTGTGTGAAGACATATCACACTCTTTGGGCTTCTTTTCTAATTGATAGCTAAACTCTCGACACAATCAAAATAAAATATTTAACATCAAATTCCTGGATGCTAATCTGCCCTGAACAGCCAATTGCAGGATCATCAGATGCTGCACAACCTGTATAAAATGTATCTGTGAACTTTGTACACATCTATTAAAAAAGCAACAAGAAGTTTTTTTTTTTTTTTTTGCATTGGCTTGCTTGTTTTTTTTTTTTATTATTAAATATTTTATTAAGGATTTTCTTGTTTTACAGAAGTAAGAGTACTGCCTCGTATATATATTTTTTTCATGTAACATTTTTACAAATCCATTTCATTTGTTGAGGCATTAGGGGGGAGAAGAAAAAAGAAAAGAAAAAAGAAAGGGGGGGTGGAGAGAGGGAAGATGGATGGGGGTGGGGTCGGGTGGCGGTGTTTCTATTATGTTTAATGTATGTAGAGTTTGGTGTCAGTGTTGCTTGTGTTGTTCACTTGTGTTCCTTTCGTGGTGAGAGAGGTTGGGGTTGGCCTAGGGTGTGATTGTCTGCTTGTGATTGGCTGTGGTGATCTTTGTTTTCGTGTGTGAGTGAGGTGGGTGGGTGTTTTGGATCAGGTTAGCCATATTGATTTGTATGCTGTTGGTGGATTATTGTCATTGTCCTGTTGGGCTGTGTATGTGATAAAGAGGAGCCATACCAGGGTGAAGACGTCTTCTTCTGTTTGTCCCCGTGTCAGTTTCAGTTTATTAGTTAATTTTTCTAGTAGGGCTGTTTCCCATACTATTTGGTACCATTGGTCCATGTTTACTCCTGACAGGTCTCTCCAATGTCTGGTTATGGTGTTTCTGGCTGCTGAAAGTAGGTGGGTTATGAGTTCTTTGTGGTGTAAATGGGCATTGTTGTCTTGGAAGATGTTTAGTAGGGCCAATTCTGGGGTGATGTCTATTACTTGCTTAGTTATTTTACATATTTCTTGTATGGCTGTTGTCCAGAATAGTTGGATTTTGGGACACTCCCACCACATGTGGAGGTATGTGCCTGTGGAGGTGCACCCTCTCCAGCATTTTGGTGAGGTTCCTGGGTGTATTAGCGCTAGTTTCCTTGGTGTTAGGTACCACCTGTAGGTGAGTTTCAGTGTGAGTTCTTTTCTTTTCGTTGATATGGATTTAAAGGGGGTTTAGACCACATTCTGGTCCATTGAGTGGGGTTAATCTCATAGCCTATGTCATTCTCCCATTGTTTTTTGATTGCATCTAGGGATTTGCGGGATTTTGGAGTAGTATTTTGTATATTGCGGATACCGTCCCTTTACCGTTTCCTTTTGTTGTTAGGAGGAGGTTTTCGAAGGTTGTCAGGGGCCTAGTTGCTGCTGATTTTACTGTTGGGTTGTTTAAGAGGGCATGTAGTTGGTGTTGTGTTAACCAGGGCATTTGGGTGTCTTCTAGTTTGTCTTGTATTTCTTGTGTTGACAAGGGTTTGTTATTTTTATAAAAGTCTATTAGGCGATATAAGCCTTTGGTTTGCCAGGTTTTTATCTGGAGGTTTTGTGCTGCATGGTGGAATAATGGGTGGTACGCCAGGGGGATTAGTGGGGATGGGGTTGGGGATAGTTTGCCTATTTGTGTTTTCCATGCTTTGAGCATGGTCTGTGTGTACCTGTTAAGTGTTGTGGGAATTTTCTTTAGTTTGTTTGGGAGGAATGGGTATGTTGTGGTGCAGGTATTTTCAATTGTGTCCCTCTCTAGGTGTACCCATTGTTTTGTCTCATCTTCTAGTATATATGGGATTATATGGCGTATTTGGTTGGCATTGTAATATGCTTCTATGTTGGGGATTCCCCATCCTCCTTCTGAGGTGGGGAGGTGCAGGTATTTGAGGCTTATTCTTGGTTTTTATGTGAGAAGATGAAAGAGTGTAGTTTTCTCTGCCAACTGCGAAGTTGGGTTGAGGGGATCCAGATTGGGAGGGTTTGGAATAGGTAGGTTAGTTTTGGGAGTGTGATCATTTTGATCATGGCTATTTTGTCTGAGAGAGTGAAATTCATGTTATTCCATCTCTTTAGGTCTTTGTTAATTTGTCGCCACAGGGGCTTGTAGTTGTGGAGGTACAACTTATTGAGGTTTCTGGTTATTTGTACCCCTAGGTATCTGAACTTGGTGTGGCAAAGTTTTATTTTGGTGACCTTCGTGAGTTCTTTTTGGGTGTGAGGAGGGGTGTTGAAGCACATAGCTTCTGACTTTGTAAAATTTACCTGTAGGCCCGACACCATTGCAAATGTGTTGAGTTCTCTGATTAGGGAGGTTGCTGTGCTTATGGGGTCTGGTGTTGTGACCATTAGGTCATCTGCAAAGAGCCCTAATTTATAGGTTCTGCCTTTTATTTCCACTCCCTTGATGTCTGTGGCTGCTCGGATGCTGATTGCTAAGGGTTCCAGAGCCAGGATAAATAAGAAGGGAGACAGTGGGCATCCTTGTTTCGTGCCTCTTTGGATAGCTATAGTATTAGAATCCATATTGTTAGTTCTGCATTTTGCTGAGGCTTGGGAGTATATTTGTTTGAGAATTTGTAGGAAGTTGGGGCCAAATTTCATGTTAGTTAGTACTGCTAATATGTATTTCCACTCTAAGCAATCAAAGGCTTTGAGGATGTCTAGGGACATAATTGTCAATGGGAGTTTGGTTGCCTTGCTGTGTTCGATCAGGTTCAGTAGTTTCCTGATGGGGTCTGTTATATTGCGGCCAGGGACAAAGCCAGTCTGGTCTGGGGCTACTAACTTGTGTAGGAAGGTTTTTAGGCGGTTGGCCAAGATTGATGTGAATATCTTGTAGTCTTGGTTTATTAATGAGATTGGGCGGTATGATTCTACTTTGAGGCTGTCTTTTAGTGGTTTTGGGATGGAGACTATTTTGGAGTGGGTCCAGGTTTTGGGGATGGGGCCCCTTTTATGATGTCGTTGAATAGGCGGGTCATGTAGGGCATCAAGGGTTCTTTGAATTTCCTATAGAATTCTGCTGTGAAGCCGTCTGGGCCTGGGGCTTTGTGTGGTTTCAGGTTTTTGAGGACCGCATCTATTTCCTCTGGGGTGATAGGGCTGTCCATGAATTCCTGTTCCTCATCAGTTAGGGTAGGCATGGACAGTCCTGCTAGAAATTTTTTGATTTCCTTCTCTGGTGGGTTATGGGAGGTGTATAGGTTGGAGTAGAATTCTGCAAATTCTGAGTTTATTTCTTCGGGGGAGAATGTTATGTTGCCGTCTTTTTGGTGATGCAGTGTATTCTTGTTTTGAGTGCTTTTTTCCTGCATCTATTTGCTAGTAATCTGGAGTTTTTCCCTCCATATTCGTAGAAACGTTGTTTAGAGTATAGAATGTTGATCATTGTTTTGTTAATTTCTAGGGAGTCTAGTTCTCTCCTTTTTTGTTCCATAAGTTTGAGGAGTTTTTAGATCCTGTTTGTTTGTAGCGTGATGAGAGGGCT